ACATTTCCAGCAGAGAAGCAGCCCGTGAAATGCCATGAAGGCTGCTGCTGACAGCAGCAGGTCTAGAGCAAGTGGGTGTTCTTCTCAAAGACTCCTGGAAACCTCTCCCATAAAGCTTTAGCCATTGGCACACACTTTGAATTAACGTTTAAAAATATTACACCAATAAAAATGCAATTACAGTTTTTCTGCATCTAATCTTGTTGCCTGTACAACTGATTCTGGAATGTGCAGGGCTCAGTTCACCCATCTTTCTTCATTGCATTTCAGGTATAATCTGTTCTTACACTTAAGATAATGTAAATTTACTATAGAATTACAGGTGTATATATGAGAAGAGCATCAGAGTTTCTATATCCACATTCTTGTTTCCCTGTTCTTCTCTGGGACATATAAAAAAGAAAATTATAAAAAGTGAAGAAGAAACCAAAATACAAGCCACAACTGAACCATAAGTCAGAAAAATTTCACAGGTTTGGCAGTTAGGTAATTTTGAAGCAAGGATTTAACAAATAATGTAAAAAATTAAAATTCTTCCAATAAAAAAATTATGACAGCGGGGTAGCCTTCTGTTTTAATCACATCTTTAAATGTTGAAAAAGCAGGGCTATGAAAAGCTGCCAGCTGAAAAAACTGGACATATTTTTGGTCCACAATGTTGGTGTTTGTGTACACAATGGTGGGTGTAGTAACAACTAAGTTTTACAGAAATCAATAGTATAATTTTGAATACTTATAGCTGATGAACAGCCTTTAAGATATGCTCTTAAATAAAAAGAGCATATAAAATAAAATATAAAAAATAAAATAAATAAACAGCATCGACTCTTTGGAGTAACAATACGGATGCAGTTTTCATATAACTGCTTCCAACAAGATAAAAGTCTGGTGTGACTTTCTGAAGTCCCTTCTGAATGTTTTTCATAGGTCTTTCAAGGCTCAAAACAGTTTGATTCTGTGTAGCAGAAGTTCACTATCTGCCTAACCCTTACCGATGCTTTTTCAGCTCTTTCCACTATATTCTGCAAATATATTCTTGCAGCATGTCAGGGTGGCAGGCTGAAGCCCCAGAGCAGGGAACAAGAGGGACTGTTACACTAAGCCAACTCTACCCCTCTGTTTATGAATGTTACTTTTCATGAAAAGCTACTGGGTTCATTTGGATACTTCGAAACGAGTGTGATTTCCCTGTCTAAGGTTTTATAGTCAAGCAAACTAGGTTTATTATTATATTTTAATTATATGTTATTATTACAAAATCCTACACTGAACGGAAGAGCTTAAGAGAGTTAATCAAATGAGACAGAGGATGCCAAAACCATACTAAAGGTGGAGGAGAAGGTGGCACATAAAACATCTTGAAGGGATCCGTCACAACAGTCATCAAGATGAGTAATCTGCAGTACCCAAACCTATTCTACCTTGGTGTTTGCAGTGACTTTTTGTTAGGTAACATTCCAGCAACGTTGCATATAAATCCTATAGCAGTTTTAGACTAAGTTTTGTTATAAACAATAAAATTTATTGTTTCCTGAATATCCTACCAAAGACATTCAAGATAGACAAACAACAGAAACAGAGACAGTTCAGTATATTTTACAGATAAAATTTTCAGACATCTGCTTTATCAAAGAAATGGGACAGAGGACCACAAGGAAAATCAGTTTGGCATGTGCTACCTACTATTTTCTGTGTTCATTGTTGCTTTACTTTTTTTGACCTTTATGTTCAGAACAATGCTCATTTAGAATAAATGTGCTTTTCCAGTCACACATTTGCTGGCCTCAGAAAAAACAGTTTTAGCAGAAGAAGAATTTGAGATGAGGAAATTCTGTTTACTTCAATTCTTTTCTTCAATAACCAGTGATGAATTCTATAAAATCCCATTACAAGGCTGACTGTCATTGTACAGAAAACTAAAGAATTTACTCTGATGAATTTGTCATCACACAAATTAGTGGGACCACTGACTTACTTCTGTCATCTTTGCACATACACCTTTGGAGCAGAGACACAGAATAACAAAAGTTACTAGCAATTTCTTTACATTATTTTTGCAACTGCATTTTTTATCTGGCTTTCTTGGTAAACCAAATACTTAGCAATGTTCTAGCATACCTGTCACTTAGCTGGTAATACCGTTAGACCAGCATTCAAATACATAGAAGCATAAAGTCCACATGAGGATACAGGTGTCCTTCTGAAAGATCCCTCACTTCCTCCTGCAGCTGAGTAAATATGAATTTAAATGCGCTAAATAAAGAGAATAAGCACTGACTAATGAGAGAAGAGGAGTGGCTTTCATTTTAGGCAGGTTTATGCACACACCTTTAAAAATAAATATAAACCTATCAGTTTGAATGTTATTTTTACCCTAGTTTCCTAAGAAAATGATTGTGCTATTAATTGGTGTTTGCCACCCCCTGCCCCCCCATCCTTCACTTCCAACCTGGCTTACTAACTTCTGAAGCTGTTGGCTTTTCATCTGAAGTTGAAAATGGGGAAAGAAATCTCCATGGTATTGAAGTGCTGCGATTTCAGTGAAAAGTAGCAGCTGGAAAAAGCAGAGAGGCTCTTGTTAATATTTTCACTGTGAGAGATAGAGCAGTATGAACTTGGCAGTTACCTGTTCGGTATGACCTGTTAGTTGTTCTGTAAGTACTCATACAATGGCAGAATAATTAGCCCTCACGTCAGCTACAATGTGTGCCTTCTCCCCACTGATTAAGTAAAGGAGAAGAGCTGAAAATATGAAAAGAAGTTGATGGGCTACAGGGAGACCTAAATGAAATAAAGGCATTTGAGGTGATTTGGAACAAAGTGGGGGAGAGAGCAGTAAGAGATGAGCCTGCACACACACACACCTTAAGGCAACCTGACCCCATCAGTTCTCCAGCTTGACTGCACAGCTTGATGCCAGAGGGTCATACTGGTTCAACAGCTAACATGGACATAGGGTATTCTGGGACTGAAGTAACAGAACGAGGTTTGGTTTTTATGTCATCTGGGAATAAGCAACACTGGTATAAATATGTTTTCTCCATAACTGATCCAAAGAGGAAAGGGCTGTGCTACTTAGCTGAAAGGGCTGTTTAAGCCAAGAAAGCTGTGTGCATGGGTAAGTCCTTTAGGTACCTAAATCAGCATTAGACATCACTGTACATATTTAGGTTGGCTTTAGAGAATATTATTTTATGCATTACAAAACTAAAGAATTCTATCTAAATTAGAGTGCTAACGTTAATAAGCACAAGTTAATGCTAAATACAAGCAAACACAAAAGTTTAGCAGCTGGTTTACTACGTCATCCTTTTGTATCCATCCCAGATCAGGGTACTGAAAAAGAAATCATAATAAATGGTATCATCATTAAACATAATTAAGCAAATGTATGCATAGCATTTTCCTTCACTTTTAGATTTCAAAGCTCTTATAAATTAATTAATCTCCACTAGTAACAGTCAGAAATCAGAACAGTCATCCCTATTCTGCAGAAAACTAAATAAACTGTACATAAGAGTGACATTCAGCTAGATTCTGAAATATCATCAATGTCCTATGAAGTATGTTGTGCTCCTAAGCAGCACACAGAACATGTGCTGACATTTAACTTGTCAAGTAACACAACCAAGGTTACAATGAAAATCTGTACAGAAGGTGGGAACAGAACTAAGACTTTCTGATTCACCCTTCTCCATCTGATGCCATAAAAAGTGGCACAAAAAATATTGCATCACATCCACTGATTGTACATTATTAGCAGATTACAGCAATAACAAAGAGAGAATAATCTTGTGGTTATGATACTGGACTTGGAAAATTTTAATCCTGTTCTTGCCTCTGCTAAAACATCAAGCAGGTTTATTTTGCCTCTGTTCTTGCCTCAGTTCTTGCCTCTGCTAAAACATCAAGCAGGTTACCTATTTTTTTTTTTTCCTCAGTCACTTATTCATAAAACAAAAGAACTTCCTTTTTCTGTCTTGCCCATTCATGGCCCAATGGTTTTGGGAAACAGACTGTTTCTCATTGTATATTTGCACAATACCAAGCACAGTGGGCCTCAAGATGCACTGTTGGATGTCTACCTTAACACAAACAACAACTATTTATAGTGCATTTTTATCTATATCATATTTTAGAAAGTGTTCAGGATGTTTTGCCACACTTTTCACGCTGCAGGTCTGTATCAATGAGCTAATGTGGGAAAAACATGTCAGTAAAGCATTAAGAACTGACTTGAAAAACACTTCCTACCTGCACAGGTGTCTCCAGAGTGTAGATATGTTCCCCGCGCACATTGTAGAACTTGACAAGTGCGCTTTTCAGCAGGGAACCATTGCCGAGGTCAACTAGCTGGCTTTGCTTCTCCATGCCTGCTACTGCAAGTAGGTCTCCTTGTGTACACCACTGTACCACCACATCTGCAATCGCAAAGACGGTTTGCAATAATCACTGATTAGAAGCAGTAGGAACAGCATTTCCAGATGCTGCAAAGTGACTTGAACAGCTAAATCATGCTCTCAAAAGTTACTTAAGTACTTAGAAACCTAAATCCTTCCATTGAAATGGTAGCAAATGTGCCACATATGCACTTCCGAGAATGACTCTTCATTTTGTAAATTGCAAAAAAAGTGTAAAAATAATTCCTTTTTCTCTCTTTATGGTGAGTCTCGAATGTAATCAGCTCATAAGTACTTAACAACAAGAACTAGAGATGTTAAAACTGATGTGGAAGATCCTATCCACGTCTTTGGCGTAGATGAGTGGAATTAAGTCAATATGCGGATAAACAATCTCACTAAGAGAGCAGCAAAGACTATTAGTTTGGAAAGGCCTACAGTGCAAAAAAGCAGCATATTTGGCAATGCCTCATGTTCTCACTGGCTGTGAACATCATTTTTAGCATAACTCAAACTAGAGTTACAGTTTAGTATAACATCAAACTAGAAAGACTTCAGGATTTTTGTCCATAAACACATATGGCCTCCATGTCATAGGTTTTCTTTTGACACCTGACTTGTGAAAAGGTACTCATCTGTATAGCAGGAGTTTGCCAGAAGCACACAGGGATTGCTCAGTCTCTCATATGCGTGGATATGAATATACATATCAGTTACTCCTCCTACAGGCACCTCATGATGAGAAACACCCACAGCCTAATTTGAGGATGCTAATTTCAAACCCTTATATCCTCCAGCTATTTGTCACACTGCAACAAGAGCACTAAAACAGTATTTTGTGTTTCTGCTTGTATTTCAGAGGCAGATTTGCATGTTCAAGGAATACTGAGCTGGTCTTTAAACTTTTTGCTCTTAAACCAGAGGTGAAAGGCAGCTATTTTCTGCTGAGACAAAGTGAAGGCAAAGACAAAACTTTTGTGCTCTGGGATGCTCAATCTGCCAAGAACCTTTTGAAGACATTTGTGGGCGAGAAGCTGTCTTCGAATGAAGAAGCAGGAGAAAAATGAGAGTTGGCAGGAAGGATCTCAAAATCGTTTCAAGTTGTCAACTTGTCATTTTCAGGGACATTTATGTGCAATTTAAAATGATTTTGTATTATTTCAACTTTCTGATATTTCTCATGGGAATTACACTTCTGTACCTATCAGAGGTAGGACACATGTTCCTCCAGATAATTTTTCCACAGCTAGGCATTGTATGCCTCTTTTTTCCTCTTAGTCCTCAGCCCTTTAAGTGATCTACAGGGGGATTTAATTCATCTTTCTCACAGAGTATAACAATAGGCAGGTTAGAAATCAATGAGGCACACTGATTAACTCCACTTTCAGTAACAATTACCGGGGTGAAAAAACAATCTCTTTTGGATGCATGTCTTCAGGTAAAACTTTCAGTAGATGCCCACACCAAGAGGAAGAGGAGTGATTACTGCATCCAGCAGTTTTCTCTCTCTCTCAAAACTCCTAGAATTAGGCTGCAAAGGGCTGGATGTGGGCTGCAGCATCCCCCTGGGACAGCATGGTCCTACAGCACGCTGCACTGCCAATGGTGTCTTCAACAACTATCGAACCTTGACGTACAACAGCTCAACTGACAATTAGGTCTCAGCGCAAGCACAGAGATCAGAAATCAGATGAAAGTTTCATCTAAGGTAACGGTCTGCAAGTGAATAATTGGATCACAGCCATCCCTCAGAACTACTTGCCAGCCACTATAGGTCTGTATATTGGCAAACCTTGAATAGACAGCACTCTAAATGTGCAATAGCTCTGTGGGTAGTAGTTGTAGCTAACTAGTACAACTAGCAGATGCAGTACAGCAGTTCTGCAGGTAGCACTGTACTGAGAGTCACTGAGTTAAAACGTGTAAAAAAAAGAAAGGATACAACTGAACAGTTCAGGATCTCCACTGGAACTGATAAAATTTCCAGGAGTGTTCAAGCTGGATGAAAACAAGAACTTGTATTTGGGTAATCAAATTCTCATCCAACAGCAAATGTTTTTCTGCATCAATTTAATATGAATACTCCCAGTAAAATGACAGCTATACAAAGCTAGTAGAACAGCAAAAATGTATTGGCAGTGCTTGAAATAGCTTTATAGTTGCCTGCTTTAAAAGTACATTGAGTAGCCTACAGCAGCCCATAAAGACAAGGGCATCTGCTGCAGAGACCACAAAGCAATACTTACAGATTTCAAACAGAAACATATGAATTAAAACTTGCACACAATACTGAAGACCATCCACTCTCAGCAGAATACCAACTGGCAGTGGCAGAGGATGGAGACCCTGAGCTGGGTGGTTTTGTACATTCTTGCATGTGATAACAACCAGTAAAATTACAGTCACTTGAAATAAAAATTATAAGAAGATACAGAGAATGTTTACATCTATATGGCAGCTATATGCAAAATACTTTGTACAATGGATAGCTTCAAAACAATAGACAGTGATATCCCAATCACCTTTCTCTCTGTCTCGGACACACTTCCAATCCAGCAAGATGTTGCACATTCTTCTCCTACTAATGTCAGTGATGTAGTCCAGTTTACAATTCATAGAAAAAAAGATTTCTACTGTAGCTGGCACATTAATAGTTTGCTAGAGGAGGGGGATGTAATTAAGGGATCTTTTTTCCACTAGTGAAAGTAAAGAAAGAGAAACAGGACAGACATCCTCAGTAAGATAGAGCCTGGCAACTCGAAACAGAGAATAAGATGGAGCTTGTTTCTCCTGTTTCCAGCTGAAAGCTAGACTAGGTGACAACTCAAGACTACTTTCCTATCCTATTTACTAAAATTCTGTAGAGATGCTGGGCACACCCCTTGGTGGATATCACAAGTTGGTTCCTGTTGCCCAAACTTTAGGCATTCTTTCGGCTGAAGATGTTTTCTGCATCATTGGGTTGCGCCCACATGCTACATTTTGCACACCATGCATTTCTTGTGGTGGCACAGATGGAAGCTGGAGTGGAAAAGAAACCTCAGAGGTGACTTTTTAACCTCTTAAGACTACCCTACACAGTGGATCATCCAAAAACTATCGGGTTGGTGTTAGGGCAACTTTTCACCAAAAATATCCCACTGTTACAGAACAGCTAAGAGTACGGTACAACAGCTTAATTTTTTTTTTTTTTTCATCTAATGTAAAACTACTTCACCTGTGGAGATGAAAAAGACTCAATGGAACCTATATTTAAATATGTGCTTATGTGCCATAGTGAAAAAAAACTTCTCTCCAGGTAAAGCACTGTAAATTATACTGAGAGTGCTGGCAAAGTGAGGGACTTTTTGATAGGCAAGAACAGTAAAAATTTCAATGTGAATTAAAAATTTCACATGGAATATTGATCTTACAAACATTTATGCACATCACTTAGCCAGATGTATAGTAATTAATCACTGGAATTTTCCTTCTCTCAGAATAACTTGCCTCTTGATAATTAATAATTCTAGCAAGTGTCCAAAATCTGTGGGAGACAAAGCAACGCTGCCATTCGTACCTGGTTACCAAATGCATGGGAGGAGACCTTGTGAATTAAAGATGCAAAGGAAGTGTTAAGAAGCAGGGACATTCAGACAAAGACGCATAAACATATTGGCACATTCATCTGAAAAACAGTGAACGGATCAATTTGTTCCACAACGCTGCCGTAAAAACACAATCTCAAGAAAGGAAACATTTTTTCAAACACAAAAGCTCTATCAGCCAAGCACTGCTCTTCCCCCAGCAGATGTCACTGCTGGAAATGGAAATAACGGTGGCCGAGTTCTTCTGACTTAGGAGAGACAACCAGAAAAACATAACATATACACACATCACTAAAAATACAAGAAAAACAGAGCATAGGAAGGAGGTGAAATGGCTTCCTTTGGTACCTTTCAACCCTGAGCGGATGATAGTAGGAGACAAGTCGTCATAATTGTTCATTAAACTGATGTCTCCTGACGTGAAGCTGACAGTAAGTAGCGGCTTGGTGTTCTGCACTGGCACTGGATACGCAGCTGGTCCATCTGCAAAAACAAGGTTCTGGAGTGAGCAAAAGGCAAACAACCAGAACTAATTACATCCAGGCTGAAATACAGTGTATTTCATTGTGGAACCACCACAACCAGTGGTTCCAAGCCTCAAACTCTACCTGCTTATTTCTGCAACGTCTATGGGCAAAAGCAAAGCAGATTTAGCTAGTTAGTGTGTCTGCTTTTGTGAAACCCCAGTGTTTTTACTTTTTGAATTTTTACTGCAGAATATCTGAACTGATTTATGGGTATGCTATTACAGTATACAGTGGTGGTTTTAAATTTTTCTCCATTGTCAACTCCCCAGAGTATCCACAAATTCAAAACCAGTTCTTTGGAAGGCTTCCTTGGGATCCAAGCTGAAAAACAGTGTAATAATCACATTAAAAGCTATTTGTTAGATACACTTTCTGCTTGGGCAAGTGCTGGGGACTCCTCCTGATGTTACTTAGAGACATCATAAGAACTTCTAAGATAACATACTGACCTTTCGCAAATTACTGTAGTCTAAATGTTAAGAGCTGGGCAGCTGCATGAAAAGCTACCTGTCATCCTGCATAACAGGCTCCAACGCGCTCAAAGGTGGAGATGAGCCCAAATGGAACACTAAGCTTTAAAAAACATTTCTGCAAAGTCTCTGCTCCTCTGGGCTTGTGTTTCAGCATTCACTGAAATTCCTTTGTTCAAATACCTAATGACCAATATCCCCATCTGTGTTTAACTCTCTTTGTTTACAAGTTCTGATAGGAGATAAAGTGCCTCTCAAGGCCAACCAGTATCTTTTCAGTCAACAAAAATGGCAGAGCCAGTTAAGAGTGGTATTGCTTCCTGAACTTTTAGAACAGCTGATCAAAATGCACTTTGGAGAAAGATGTCTAGTAATTAGCATCTCTGTGTGTATATGATCTGATAAAAAAAACCCATCAAACTTCCAGTCCTTCCTACACATCTGTGTGCGTCAAATGCTTGTCATCTTTGAGAGGTTTATGCTGCATCTGCTCTAAAGAAAACACATCATGTTTGGGTAATCATTAAAATAGGCTTGTAGGCTTGTAACGAGGCCACCCACCCCCTGATTGACTCAGAAAAAGCTAGCACACTTGGATCATTTAAGTTCTTATCTGTGTACTCTGCATCTTCACCATCCTCCAACTGGAACCCCAGTGTTTTAAAAAAGCAATGAAAAAACAGTTCGATTTTGTTCCTTTTCTTGGTGTAGAAGCTTGCTAGGAGATTTTCTGTTTGTTTCTTTTCTTCTAAGGTAAAAAATCTCACCCAGTACCAAAAATGAGGCAAGAAAGCCAAAACAAAACTCAGTTTTAAAAGATGCTAACATTTTACCAGATGATCACATTATCTTCCATCATTATTTGTTAAATACATATGCTTATTATATTGACATATATATACACAATTCTGGAAAAGGAAGACTTTTGGACTAAATCCAAGTAAGAGTCCTCAATTCAGTGGTTCAGATCTGAGATACAAATTCAGAACTATTTCTAGCTATTATGTATTTAAATTTTTCACTGTACAGTCACTGTTATGTTAATTACTGGAACAAAGAAACAGCTTACCCGGATCTTAGAGACTAATCAACAGCATTAACAAGAAGTGTTAGCATTACTTGAAGAACAAGGATGGGGCTGACTGTGCATGGTCACCTAGGCCTCCTAGGTCTTTGATGATTTCCAAAGAGTTTAAAACCAAAACATTTCACCCAATAAGTTATATCTATACTTAAGTGGAGGGAAGGATTTCTTCCCGACCCTCCAACTGGCAATGTGCTCTGAAGCATGGGAATTAGTAACTCCAGACAGCTCCAGTCACCCTTCTTCCACCCTGTGTAACTGCAGGAAATATTTTCATTTCCAATCTTTCTGTGGAATTTATTGAGCTCTTTATATCAGGACTATCAAGGATGGGACTGTAATGATGAACATAATCTCTGCTTCATAAGATTTCTTTAAAATTAAATATGTAGTTCTTTCCCCTATGTCTAGTACTAGTGTCTTTTCACATGAATCTATGTAATACACATTAACTTCTGTGACTGCACTCTGACTACCTCCATACATATGGACCATTGCAATACCTCACATCTCCTTATCAGTGGAACCTGATATGCTCCTTCCTAGCATTTTCACTCACCCTTACTAAAAACTTTGTTATTTCACTTGTGCAAATGGAGGCAGGGCAGCACAGATGAGGTATGACCTGCAGCAAGCCACGTAGCGAGGCTCGTGGCAGAGCTGGGCATAAGCCCACTCTCCTGTACTAGCCCGCTGCTCCATCCTCCATGGTACCTTCACAGGAACACACCATCTTTCAGCCTCTACCAGCTTGAAATTGTGTCCATCCTGCTGTTTTGGTAAAGCATGACAACTCTCTGGCATTCGAGATGTCTTCATGAACGCTTGCAAAGCTGAAACAGAAGGACATGCACACAACACTACCTTGCGGTGGGGAATAGTCGTCGGAGTCCGTGTCGCTCTCACTGCTGTCCTCCACCAGGAAGCTGGGGTAGTTCCAGGACATGCTGAGGATGCCATCTGACTCGTGAAGGAGCACATGGGCCAGCATTCGGCCATGGCAGTCCATGACAATAACCTGCCCATCAGCAGTGCCAAACAGCACCTGAAAATAATGGAACAGCCCTCAGTCCCACCAAACCTGAGCCACTGGACCCTTCTTCGAATGTATCTTGTAATTAACTAGCTATGCTGGAAATTAACTGAAAGCAAACCAGTCAGGGAAATGAAATGGTGCCACAACAGGATGCTGCAACCAAAGATGTATATAAAGAGTGAAGTCAAAGCAGCAGGGACTAGAGGTAAGTTCCTAAAATCTGTGAGCAAGTAATGCTTCATGGTGGGGCACATTTTGTTCACTTTAATATGAGCCATTACATTTTACTTGAACTTGGCCATTACTACCACCAAAGTCAGCTGGCAGAAGGGCTACCACAGACTCTGCAGTATTCTTAGATGATATTGAAACCTCCAATATTGGTGGCAGAAGCCATGGTTTGCATCAGTCATAAATACATCAAAAAGTGTAGCCAACAAAAATGAGGTCTTAGTAGATATTTCAAACAGCTTGTGAGAAATAGAAAGCTGAATAGAGGAGGACAGGTTATTCACTTGAGCTGAGAGAAGGTGGGAGAATATCTTCCAAAAACAGAGGCAAAAGCAATATGATCAATCAACTGTAAGTAGGTTATTATAGCCCAAGAGGAAGGCAGTACATTACACATTCAGGAAGGGATGAAGAAGAGCTTCTACGCACCATTTTGAATACAAAATGAATAACACAAGTTTTTTTCTGGCCCCTAAAGTACTCCATAGACAGTGAGCTCTGACTGAAGTCAGATTGACTGGAACCTACAATTTCTTTTTTATAAGCATTTTCTGTCTTAAGGCTTTAAGCAAGTTAAGACCCTGCATATTTGATGAATTTTAGAAAAACATCAGGAAACAAGGATTAGTAAATCCACAAAATGATAAATGCATTAGCCAAGGCTGCTGCTGCTACCATGTAATTCCATACGAGGCAAATATGTTTTAAAGCAAGTTCAAAGGCACTCATCAACTTGAAAACTAGCCAGCATTAAAAATGAAGCTAAAAGAAAAAGCAAATCTTATTCTTGCCCTTCAGTCCACCAACTATTTCTGGTGCTTGTACATTTAAGATTCTAACAATTATATGCCCAGAATGAAAATTCATCTAGCCTTGTATCTTAACTCTAACAGTGGCAAAGTGTTTGGGGAAAAGTAAGAGAACAGGATACACTGAGCAGGCACCTCACCTACACACTCATGTACCTTCTAGCAAAAAAGACCCCCTCTTCTTTGATAACTAATGATCTCACTTGGTAACCTTTACCTCTTAACACTAAAAGAAATACTGCATAATTGTTCCCTACTTACATTCTCAGTGTTGGCCATAGCTTTATAGACCTCTATTATCTAACCCCTTAGTCATCTCTTTTCCAAGCTGAAGGATCATAGCCTACTTAGCGTCTCCCTGTACAGCCCTTGTTCAAAGCCTCCAGTTACCCTTGTTGACCTCTACTGTCAGAGGTCTTCCTTTCTATCTTCCTTCTGAGATGTCATGCCAGACTTGCAGCATTCGGACTGTGTATTATATCAGATTTATACAATACTACTCATCTAGGAAGCAATTGTTATGGTTGCACTTTTGAAGGTTTCTGAAAGGAAGCGTGACTTCAAAGGCCTCTGTCAAAAATAAGAAGTGCTAAATTTTTTCCTATGATCAAGGTGATGATCAGGAAACAGAAAGTTGTAAACCAGAACAGCAGTTTAACAGAGGAACTTCAGTGAATTAAATAAATCTTAAGAAAACCAGTGGAGTTATTTCACATTAACAGAAGCAATAAAAAATGAGTATCTGGCTTCCTTAACTGTAATCACTACATGTTACAAATATTTTTGTGTTAAATATCTGCTGGGTTAAAACAGTGGCTGAAGTTTGCTATGAGCCTCAGATTACTATTCTTAGACATAAAAACAAGAACTTGAGCTTTGTTCATCTCACACTCCCTTCCCTTTTGTCCTTTATTCTGTTCTTCCATCTGTATCATGCCATTTTGTTTCACACTGTTCATTATTTCAACTGTTTTTACATGTGTAATCAGTGCACAACTACTTTCACTTTCTACATTCAGAACGTAACCACTCTTGTTCAGATGTCTACAAAACAAACTTCTACAAAGCCAAAATCCTACTGGTTGTCATTGCTAGCTCCTCACACTACTTTCAATCTACTCTATAGATTAGTTTATTAGTCTCCTAGGAGTTTTATAAAAGCAAAATGCTCAGACAGAGGAGGTGAAACTCTCTATTGTTTCTGAAAATAGCAGTAGAAGAGTTCTGCCTCCTAAAATTCTGTAGAAACCCTTTATAATTGGGTAGGAATAAAATGATATGACTCATCACCCAGAGTTCAGTCTCAACTCAATCTAAAACTAATTCTTTTGAGTAGCACTGCCCCAATTCATTTAAAATTATGAAGTCCTACAGTAATTTCCAGTTCAGATCAGAACAGCTGCATGTGGGCATCTTAATTCTTGCACTGGAAGCTCAGAGAGCTCTTTAGCAACCTAGAAATGTCAGAGTGCACTCTTAATCTCTTTAGCCAGGTTATAGGTTTCAAGGAACAGCTTTAAATTTCGGGGTTATTGTAGCAATACAACCTTTAAGATGAAAGCATTTATCAGGCTGATAGTCCTGCTGGCTGAACTCC